CTGCAAATGTTGTCAGGATAGCAGTCACCGTATCTCCATATTCATTTCGCCATATTCAACATCGTGTTCACCATGTCCAGCCACACCATATTGAGCACCATCTCCTTTATAACTACTTGCTTATGTCCCCGTCCTCACAGTGATCATTCAGCCACTCATTCATCCATTCTCGTCGCTTGACACTAAAACTAAACATGCACACATGGACCACCCATACTTTGCTTATGACGGGTACTGGTGGAAACTAACATATTAGCTTCCTGCCAACATGCTTACCATGGTCATCGACACGCCTGTGAACGTTTCCTGATTTACTGCTCGCCTTCTGTGGCTGCCCACTTGCTGCGCGGGCTGTTTCGGTCTCAGGACAGCCGACCGTGTCGCCAGGCTAAGGAAAAGCGGGACCATGGCCTCGTGATCGTCCTTGCAAAGAAAATGCAAAAATAAAGCGGAATAATTTCACCAGATCCTTGTGTACAAAGCAGAGCACTAAAATGCGAAGTAAGTGTCAATGATCAGGTACTGTTCTCTGCTGCGCTTCTGAAAGTTGAAATTGAGCAAAACATTTGGATCAAAATTTCCTAAACTCGTTCAGATACCATTGAAGTACCAGTTGTATTTCTTTGTAACATCATTATTTCTGAAGTATGTTTTAGCAGAGTACGAGGTGGTTGAGTTGGTTCGCAACACACAGTCTCCTTTCTCGTTCTTCCTTTGGGCATCCCTTCATCAGCTAGCCAGGGTGGAACTCGCCCATTTGTGCCGACCTGGCCCGCTAGGCTCTCCGGACCTAAGTTTTGACTGCTAAGAAGCGTGCAGCATTGTCCAAAATGGCATCATGGCGGCGGATGGGGGAGTGAACGAACATTTTGGGCACTTGGACACCCGACGTCGTCGACAATGCGCAACGGCTTGGAGTTGTCATGTGGCGTTGACAACTGCAGGATGTCATCCAATCAACTCTGCAGTCCTATTGCCGAAAGCTGCAAGCTCTTCACCAGTCAGTATGCCTAACATCCATAACCCAAGACGAAACTTCGGGAGGACCCACAGTTAATGCAAAGACATCGCCACGTTTTAATGCAAAGACCTCGCCACGTTGGGTGCTGCAGTGTTTTAGTGAGGACGGTACAGCGGATGTCAGGACCGGGGATCGAGCCGGATGCCTCCGATGGGATGTCCCGCTGCTCTTATCAAACCACCTCGCCAGGGGCAAGGAAGAGGGTAGTCCAGTCTCTTGAGCGCCAATCCGCTTAACATGAATCCACGTTGTGGGTTGCGTGTTGTGCTGATCCACGCAACAGCCCAGAGCCTTGAGGCGTGTCCGTCCTCCACCACCCAATGATCCAGCCGAAATGAAGATTGAAGGTCTGACGACTTTCCTACATTGCCATAACTACAAACAGGGACAGCCCGCCGCCATGCCAGCGAAGAACCGGCCACACCGAGACGGACAAGCAGCGGCGCTGCCAGGCTCAGGCCTGGCCACCCCACCCCACCCCGTCCCCGCCTCCCTCAGGGGTTTGCGCCTCCTGGGGCGCCGATTTCACTCATCATGCCCCGCCTCCTCGCCGGCAGGGGAGTGCTGATGGGCTCGATGGGTGGCGGGCCCATCCGGCTGGGTGGTCGCGGGGACGCGACGATCGCCGGACGGCCGCCTCTGATCGCATCAAGGAAGATGGCGGGCGTTGGAAAGGTGGAGTGGGGATGCGGGTGGCGTGTTGTTTGCCTCGTTTCTTTTGCGATCGATGGGGAGGCGGGGAACGGAAGGGTGTCGGCGGCAGTGGCGCGGACGTGTGTGTTGAGGTGTGTTTCAATGGCAAGAGAGTGCGGCATGCGAAGGAGCAGGCCCATGATGGCAAGAATCAGATGGGCGTGTTTGCGCTCTTGAGCGCTGTGGGGCCGCTGACGGCGGGAATGGAAGCGAGTCCCATGGTTGCTGAGGGCGCTTCGTGTGTGTTGGGGGGAGGGGGGCCCACTGGGAGATTGGAGTTTTGTGATGTTGGTTTGGGAGTTTGAGTCTGTCGCGGAAACGCCCTGCCGTTGGGGAATGCGTTGCGTTCCTTCACACGCGTTGGGCCCAGGCGCCAGCAAAGGTGGGCAGCATGTGGCTGCGTGCCTGGAATGGACGGCGCCGCTGTGTTCATGTTGGGCGGGCGGCCGGCGCGAAGCGCGCCGGGTGCAAATCTCTGGCATGGGAGGCTGATTGGCTGATGGGCTGGTGGGCTGTGTCATTAGGGGGTGGGTTTTGATCAGGGGGGTGCGTGCCCGCGCGGCGCCCATGGGCGAACTCGGCGCGCGGGGCAGTGGGTGCGCCATGGGGGTTCCCGCTGGTTACCAGATTGCAGAAGCGGAAGGGGATCAGGGGGTCGTTTATGCGTGCCTTCTTGCCGTTTCCGCTAAAATGCAGTCGAACGTGTGGCTGACGCTGCCCGTTGGTCTTCAGTTGCGTCCGTTGAGTTGAGTTGCCGATCGTCCGATGGCCATCGCTCTGTGGCATATGACGAATACGAACGACAACGAAGACGTCACGGACGGCAGCCGCAGGCGCGATTAGGACGGGCATCGTCGAATTCGATGGGCCACAAATGCGGTCCCCCTCCCAAAACCTTCCAGTCCCGAGGATGCTGCTTAGGATGGAAGGATCAAAATGTGAAATACCATTGCCCTCGCAACAATGAGGGGACGGTTGTTGCCACCCAGGTCCACTTTACTTGGAGCCGTATTGTAGACAACAAGTTTTTGCTAGGACGGGAACAGACACGAGTGTTGTGGTTGCTGCTGTGGCCATCTTGACCATCGACTTGACAACATTGTGTCATGAAATAGATGTACCAAATGCTATTCAAAAGAATTCCAGATTGTATGCAGCCGCTGCCTGACTGGGGCAGCCTGTTCTACATCGTCTTCGTTCTCAGTGTGGCATAAGACTGGCCAACTTTTTGTTTTGCAGAAGAATCCAATAAGTGGCATTGCCTTTGTGCCGAAATCGGAGTCTCATCGGCAGTCAGTGGCGCCTAAAACCGCAAACCTGTCAACTAAAGGGACCACGTTTTCAGCAGAATGCAACTCAATCTGTATTATAGAGGCCTCAAGGTGTGATGCCCACACGATATGATTCATGATATGTTCATCGAGGTGACAACTTCCTTAATGTGCTTTGTCAATTCCATCCACATCTTTCATAAGTCTTGTTACAATGAATCCTCTGACCATAGAGTCTTGGCTGCAGGTCAACAGGCCCTTTGCTCAGACTTGCAGGATGCCCAGCAGATGTCCAAAGCCCTCCCCGGGCGTCAGTCTGCCAGCCCAAGGCACTACAACTCACAGAGGCCCCAGGCTGCCTTTGCGTCAACGAGCCAAGTCATTGAACACCGATCCTGAACCGCAACACCCAGCTAGGCCAAATGGCTTCCAATTCCTGGGCAGCCCACTGAAGGGCCTTCAGCGAGCAGGACCTCATCTACCGCCAAGGAGGGACAGGGATGCGGCAGCGGATGCTGCCGCTGCGGCGGGCGACAAACCCCAGGCAAAGAAGACCTTTCTGGGGTTGGACGTCAATGTGTGGATGAAGATCGTGCCGCTTGGGCTAATGTTCTTCTGCATCCTCTTCAACTACACAATCTTGCGTGACACAAAGGTGCATTCACGGATTTACACATCATCTTCTGCATCATAGTCAAGGACATCACGAATTTCTTGTGCTGGAGAGGGTGGGAGAATAGGGAGGCACTTTGTGCCTAAATTTCCGTTTTCTGTTTGGATTTTTCTGTATTGTTGAAGAGAAATCACAGAGTTCTTTTGCAGGAGGGGGAGCCCACTGTATGCCTCGCTTGCCTTTCTGTCAGAAATTTAGATTTTGGAACGTTCACAGGAGTTCCCGTGGCTGGAGGAAACACACTTCTGACTCTGCAACGTTGAAGGATTTGGGTGCTTGAATGGGGTTGTTGAGTGGAAAGTGTCAAATGCCTTCATGGACGGATTTTGTGAGGCTTGAATGGCATTGCACTGACATCTGCCTATCAGTAACCAAAGCACAGAAGCAAAACACCAATAAAACAGGGGGCATCTTGTTTGTTTGTGTCTGGCATGTTTGTTGTTTAGAGTTGTTGGCAGGTTCATGGCATTGAGTGACAGCAGCGGATCTGTCTTTCTTCCATCCCTGCTACTGCCCAATGGTGTCCTTGGAGCAAAAGTTCATCCCTTACTGGGTTGCAGATTGCCCGCAATAGCAAACAAGAACAGAGGGTAGGAAAGAGCTCAGATGTGCCACATTGCTTGCAAAACTCGATTGGAAACGATGGAAACAACTTTACAGTGAGATGTGCTGTCAAGTGGTATGTGAAGAATGTGTATATGACAGTAGGGGGGAATCAGAGCTTCTGTGTTCTTTGGCAGGATGTGTTGGTTGTGACTGCACCAGGGAGTGGCGCAGAGATCATCCCCTTTCTCAAGACATGGGTCAACTTGCCAATGGCGATCGGTTTCACCATTCTGTACGCCCAGGTCCGGGTGGAGAAAATTTCAAGAAAAGATATGGAAAGGCCAGTCCTGTTCACTCTAATTCTTGTCCATGGCTTTTTGGATTCCAAGTCGCATAAGTCTATATCAGAAGTTGGCCCTGCCAATATGCTGTAGTTCTGTATGTTGTTTCTTGGCTTGTTCTGCCATTGCACCTTCAGAAGTGCAACAGGGACTCTTGTTGATGAGGTCGATTACATGTTGGCTGGGTGTGAAACCTGCTGTTTCACCTGTAAAAGTGGTCACCAAAGCAGGAAGTACCAGGACAAACAAAGGAGAAATGAATGTGGGGCCCTTGTCAGAGTAGCATGCCCCCTGGAAAATCGTGTCTGCACTGTGTAGCGCAAGAGTAATAATGATCATGCCCAAAGTACAATACAGCAGCAATAGTTGCCATACACAATAGAACTGATGACAGCATTGTAGCCTTGAAGGGAAATTGACGAGCCCTAAAGCGAACCCAGGCAGTCAGAAAGAGAACAAGGGAGGCCAAAGCACTGTCAATCCAGACTGCAGAATCGTGTTTAAGTCTCTAATCAACACAACCAGACAACGAAACAAAAGCTTAAAAGAATAGGATGCAGGTTAAACAGATGAGAACTGTGTCAACAGCATAGTCTACCCACAAACCGGAAACGAGCTCAAACCCAGAAAAATGTTGCATTGCCAGAGTACCGGTTGAAGCTTTTTTGCCTGCTTTCAGGGTCGGAGTTGAGTATATTGTAAAAGACTTGCAGTGTTGCATCATCTGTTAAACAATTGAGGCACTTTTGGAATGCACGGGATGTTCCAAGGTTCCCTTTTGTCAAGTCTATATTACATGTGCCAGTAATTGCATGTGCCAGAATTAGCAAACCATTCCCATGCGCCTGCAGCATAGTGAAGGTATTTAGAATCATTATGCCAAATATTGATGTGTTCAGTTCTGGCATCTTTGAAATGTTTGGTAGTTTATGCATATTCATCTCTTGATGGCTCACATCGGCTTCACTCTTGTGCACAGAGTGCAGTTGTCCCCCATGATTCCGCTGCAGCTGTTGCCGATTATTTCAGTAGCCATGCCAATTTGTTGTTGTGAAACTACCTTGGAAAACATGCGGTGAAAAACTGTGGTGCATGCAAGGTGAATCTCAGTACAGTGGATACGTTGAACAACAACAGTTGTTTGATGCTCAGTACCATAACGCATAGTTGCACCTACAAAGTATTGTGTAATGCATCCTTATGGGAGGTCCCTTGTGCTTAAGGATGCCTGTGCGGGATCAAGTGCTCTTGAGAGAAAAAAACATGATATTCAACGTGATAATCATTACATTATGGAAGGCGGGGCTACGCATATTGTGAAACGGTTGTCATTTTTGTTGCACTTGAATGTACACAGTGGACAGTGGTCCTGAGCTCTGAAATGCGATTTGAACTTCAAAACATTGTGGAAGAACCCACTCATATGTGCTTTCTTGTTCCTTGCAGTTGGCCAATGTGCTGAGCACAGAGATGCTGTTTTATGCTTGCATCATACCCTTCATCATATTCTTTTGGAGCTTCGCATTTGTGCTTTACCCTCTGAGGGACTTTCTGCACCCAACAGGTGTGTTATCTCACCACTCTTTGCACTCCAAAATTTACACCATATGGAGAAGTTCAACAATGTACAGATGTCCGTTCTTATTACCTTGCAAGGCAGTATGAGGGGGGAAGAGAAGTCCCTGTGAAGATTGATCGTGCTGATGATGGGATGGGCAGCATGATCTCCGCAGCATAAAAGTTGATGTCCTCGTTTCATTTGTACTGTCTACGTCCCACAGCAAATGTACTCTTTTGGTATTGCCATATCTCTACATAAGCAATTAAAATGGTCAGAGGACAACTGATTCAGAAAGACCAGGCGCCCAAACTCCCAAGGGCTGCTCACAAAAGAATACCTCTCTCGCTGCGTTCAGCCAAAACGCCCTTCTGTGGGCAAAAAGACGACGATGAGACAACGACCACCGATCAAGCCTTTCGGACTGTGTTTTGATGACCTGTGCCTCATTGGGATGACAGCACCGATCTTCAAACAAAGTGGTGTTACAATAGCTTGAAGCATGGCTTACCATGCTGGCTGACATAGGCACCCCTCACCATAGCAGTTTCAGGCTGTTTTGTGAGACCCTTGAAATTTGGTCCTTTGTTGACTTGAGTCGTGAAGAGCCGAAGCACTGTTATTTTCCGTTACCTTGAATTTGGAAGTAACTTTTTGAACACCATCCTCTACTCCATGAGTAGATGATAGAGTTTTGATACAGAAATGGTGGTGTAAAGTCGTAGGGGACGTTTACTGTGGAATGGAGGAAGTAGATTTCTGTTTTCGTTCTTTTTCCTGTTTGCTTGTTATCTTTTCTGCTCATTTAACACTTCTAGGATAAGAATAGCAATTGTGATCTTGCTGCTGTGCTTGACCACATCATTTAGGCATGGAAAATACCATTGGCACTGTTATATGCTTCTTCTGATGCCCTTGAAGACTGCTCAATAATTTCGCAGTATGCAAAGGAGTCCTTTACATATTTTGTGCGGCTTTGGAATGGGTTTGCCACCTGTGTGACTCACCCTGTTCTCTTGAATCATCGCTGGCAGCTGGTTGTAGGAAATCTGCACATACTGAAACATGTGATAGCCCATTCATATTCATGTTCCCCATTGCAGAGGTGTCAAGGTTGCCAATACTTGCTCAAATTCAGCTTATTGCCACAGCTCAGGTGAGAATCCTATTAATCATCAACTCAGGCTACAATCTTATCAGAGAATCATAGAAAAGTGAAAAGAATCCACGTTGTATCTGGGAACACTGCATGACATTGCCAGCTAATGAAACGACTTGCTTGGCCTTGATTGACACCCAGATAGGCACCCAGCTAAAGCAGAAGAGAATTATGCTCATGTTGTCATATTGTGATTGGTAATTGCAGAGTTTGCCAAGCATCTCCTGGCAGTTGCTGGCCCAAGGTTTGCAGGCCCAATTGCCATACTGAGGAACTGGACATTCTGTCTTTTCTACGTCATGGCGGAGCTGTGGGGTTCTGTTGTTGTCTCTGTGCTGTTCTGGGGGTTTGCCAATCAGGTGGGAGCATGTTTGGAGGGTGCATCGATGAGTAGAATGTCAGCGATTCAATAGGAGATGGTTGGCACCCTTGACTCGAGTACATGTGAACCAGCACGAGCATTCTGTGCATGGAATGGCAGTGGTGCAATCGCAAGTGTCAAAGTTTCCATACTGAAGCAGGGTGTATTTCATCAGGATACCAAGTTCGCCCGGTGTTAGTATATGTATGTTGGACGTTCAAAATGAGTGGTGGATATCAATAGTGGATCAAGGTACTAATGTGGTTTAAACCTGTGATCCAAGGGGTAGACGAAAAAAAATTGAAAAATTTAGGCTATGAAATGCCCAAAAATGGGCTTGCAATAATACAAAATGCAGTGCATGGACATGCAAGTGGCTGACAGGCCATGTTGCAGGCAGTTGAAGTGGCAGGATGCACTTTGCAGTCACTGCTGTGGTGCTGGGTGCCGCGGGAGCCATTGTGGCTGCCCCAGAGGTGTGCACCATGGCAGGAACAGGCAGTGCCAGCGTGTCTGCAGACGACTCCACAGCTTTCACCGTGCCATGGGCGCATGCCCTGCAATTGCTCAACATGGAAACAACCTCTCTCCCACTGATCAGACTGATCACTTTGCGGTAGTTGTTGCAAGCTGAAGACACCCAACAACTGTGTCGTGTAAGCAAAGACGCGCAAACTACTTTCCTCTCCTCAAGGCGAATCCAACAAGCCCTCTTGAGCTCGTTTCCATTGAGGTTTTGGGGTGAATACTGACACCGGATAAATAGAATAGACGGTGTGGAAGAAATGATATTATGTAGATGTAGAATATCATGTATGACTGCATGTATATTTGCTTGTGGTGTCGAGTGCGCTGGCTGCAGTATCTGTAGTAACTTGCACTTGTCGTACAGGTTGCATGTGTGCAGCCCATTCTGAATTCAAGCTGCCGATTCTCTTGGTCTGGAACATTGCCAAACAGCATGCCAAACTCGGCTGTGTTTTAGGCTATCATGTTGTCATTATGTTCATTAATGGTTTCAAGATGTGCAGAATTTGACATTTTGTGCTCTAGGACCAGTTTCACCCGGACACAATGCGCACTTCCCCTGTGTTCCTCTGTGTTCTCCAACCTGCAATGCTTCTTTAATTTCAAATAGTGATTTTATGCTTTAGTGTTAAGAGATGGACCGCATGAAGATGATTGCCTGCAGTATCAACACTGGAATATTGTTCTCTATTCGTTGCAACTCAATCTCTGCACCTGCCTGCAAACTTAAGTCTCATCCTTTGCAATTGTCAGGATTGGATGCCTTGTGTTCACTCCCCTGGTTGTGTGTGATATTCGTTGTGGCAGATCACAAGTGTTGATGAGGCCACCACATTCTATCCCTTGTTTGGGCTGGGTGCAAATGTTGCACTCATCTTTTCAGGGCGTGCTGTGAAGTACTTCTCACAGGTGCGGCCAGCTGCCCAAGGGGCCAATGCAAGTGGAGATATTCCCACACCATGACAGCTTGATTTCTTTTATTTTGTGATGGCCTTTGTTGGTTTTGCCATGGTGTGTGCTGATGAGACGATTGCGCACGCACAACATTGCCCAGTAGGTGGAAAAGCAGTGTTTTTGGATATGCTGATATGTGCAGCTATTACTGGCTTTAGATCAATGCTTGTTTTCTGCAATGGGTATTGAAGAATGGGATTTTTGAAACAAAGACAGATTGACCCACGATTATGCAGGTTCGGGCAGGACTGCCACCAGGCGTGGATGGCTGGGGCCTTTCCCTGAAGGGCCTCATGGGAATGGTTGTCATCGGTGGGCTCTTGATAGCTGGCATCTACTACTGGATGAATCGCCAAGTTGTGCCCAATGTCCCGACTCGGGCAGCCAAGAAAAAGAAGGCCAAGATGTCTGTTGGGGAGAGCTTCAAGTTCTTGGCAAACTCCAAATACATTCGTAACTTGGCCACGCTGGTGAGCTGATTCGTCAGAGCTCGATGCTGGACTGCTGACGAGATTATGCTTTGTTTGCTTTGTGCCAAAGAATGTCAACCATAGTATCAGAATATTTCAAGTTACTTCCCTGGCTCCTGCTTGTGGATGCTCGATGTGTAGACAGATGGAAACCAGGCCAAGGAGCATGTACTATTGTTTGACAAACAGGAATTCTGGCACGGCCAGAATCGCTTGTCAGTGTTTGTTTGGCATGTATATCGGAATGTTGGGTGTAAGTTAAATGAGGTTTCATCCCACAGTTTCACCTGTAGGAATGGCCGACACAACATTGTGTGTGTGGGTGCAGTCACTGTCGTTGACCAGATCGGAGATGAGTTGCAACACCATGAAATTGTAAAGCTTCATCTGACAGGCACATGTCAAGCAGCAAATACATCAAGTGTACATCCCCACCTTGGGCTTGCTTGCAATCGATAGGCGTGTTGGTGTTTTGTTCAGCTTGCGTCACAACACCTTTGTGGCTATTCACCAATGCATTAATAGGCGAACAATATGTTTGCCAACCACACGAATCATCAGGGCAATGCTTCTCAGCCCTTGTTATCGATGCACACTGTTGGAAACTTGCCCCTGCTGCAGGTCATTGCATACGGGGTGAGCATAAACTTGGTTGAGGTGACGTGGAAAGGCAAGATCAAGGCACAGTTCCCCAATCCCAATGACTACAGCGCCTTCATGGGTGACTTCTCGTCATGCACGGGGGCAGCCACCTTGGTGATGATGTTGCTGTCTCGCTTCATCTTCACAAGGTTTGGCTGGGGTGTCGCTGCACTAATTACCCCCACTGTGCTGGCCATCACAGGTGTGTCACCTTGATATCATGTTGGCCCCAGGAGGCTTTTATCATCTGGATTTCTCTTCACTTTTGTTGTGTTCCTTGCTCATGCTTATATGTTGTGTTTCCCAAGTTTCTATTGTCAATCGTTTCTTGCCAAACATGCTGCCATGGTTTCAAACCTGCTTATCTGCCAGCACACAGGCCGTTTCCAAGCCCTTTCAATCTCTTCCTAGATCGGTGCATTGTTTCACCGACGCAGCTGCTGAAAAACTCTCTACAATATGATCTGGATGACACCAGACATGCAAACAAGAATGTGTGGATCGCAGATGAGATCTTGGAATTCATTCTGGAGGTGTAATAACCCACCATCATTTGTCTTTTGCCTTGTTTCTGTACCCTCTGGAAAAATGTTGCAAGTCTGAACTACCATTAAGAGAGAAAAGCTATATTACCAAGCTCTATAATACCAAAGTCTTGCATCAACCTTGTCCACAAGAGGAGCTGTTTCTTGACTTGTTCCAACAAATTGAAGGTGAGACATTCACACTCTAATCGACTGCACAGGTGCCCTGTTCTTCGGGCTCATCATCTTTGGCGAGCCGCTCCAGCCACTGCTGTCAGCCATCAACATGACCCCCCTGTACCTTGCGGTCCTGGTTGGAGCAGCCCAGAACATTTTCTCGAAGTCCTCCAAATACTCCCTTTTTGACCCATGCAAGGAGACTGCATACATTCCCCTTGACGATGAGGTCAGGACCAAGGGCAAGGCAGCGATCGACGTGATCTGCAATCCCCTGGGGAAGTCTGGTGGCGCGTTCATCCAGCAGGTGAGTGTGGCTGCCCGCACACAAGAGAACGTGTCGCGGCAGCACTACTTGATCCACCCAACAGTGTGCAATAGGATAGGCATCTGGGCAGTGGTTTGTTCTATCTTGGTAGTTATCAGCAGCACAGATTATGTATTATTTAATCAACGCACATCGATTCATTTAGCTACCTGAGCAATGAATCAGTCAAGTAGTCGATTATTTAGCTGCTTAGCATTTGGAGGCCCCCTTTCAAACGACGTCCCACCACTGTGGCACTGATTTTGTGTCTCTGTTTGGCAGGAGTGCCAGGGCAATTGTCATGGTCTTTTGCATTCACTACCCGATTTATTTGCTCCTGTATTGACATGTACACCCCTATTTGTCATCATTTTGCCATATTTAGTATTCAATGTTTAATATTTAATAAACACACTGCTTCTGTTGGAGAATGCATTGCAAATGTGTACAATTGGTAGTGCTGCATATGATAGCAGCTTTGTTGGCAGGGCCAGGCTCACTTCTGTTGTAAGCATATCTTTTGTTCACTCAGCAGCCAAGTCTTTTGGCTTGGTCTGAGACACACTGCACTGCATACATGTGTGGATTTCATTTTGCAACAGCATTTTTGGCTGCCTGTTGTTCTTGGGAAGAGCAGACACCGACAGTGCAGGCCGAAGTTGTGCTGCCAGAGTAATCAATGAAGGATTTCTAAGTTCATTCAAATTAATGCATATCATTAGTTGCAGAGCAAATAAAACTGTTGGCAGGGTAGCGTAGCAGATGACCTATGCTGGAGAATCATATATGCATTGGCGAATTTGTCACGAAACACCACACCAAGAGCACAGTTGAGGGCACATGATGTGGACAATTTGTTTCACAATCAATGTGCACTTGTTGTCAAACTAACATAAGTTGTGACACAATTATTAATTGCCTGAAATCTCTCCAGTTTTGGGCCCCTATCTTTGGAGTGCCGCTGCCATACAACCTGCCATCCATGATGAGGGAGAGCCTAAAGAGCATTTTGACGAGCAGACATTTGGGATGTGAACGGAACTCAACATTGTCCAGCAGGTGCAAGGTAGCCAACAAAAGTTTAGCAAAAGAAGTAATGAAAAAGTCACATAGTACCGCATCACATCAAGTGTTATTGGCGGTGTTTCATCGAGTAACATGGCGACCGTCTTGCAGATCTTGCCGTTTAGTGACCTATTCCGTCTTTTCCTGTGCCCAGATGCTGATCATCAGCTTTGGATCCCTGGCTGCGTGTGCGCCATACCTCGCAACGATCGTCATTGGCGTTGTCATCGCTTGGATCTTTGCGGCCAAGTCGCTGGACAAGCAGTTCACGGAGCTCCAGAAGGAGGAGATGCGTGCAAAGCTGGCAGAAGCCAAGAGAGAGCTGCTGCAGAAGGCGAAGGCTGCAAGGTGGAGATGGGCTTTTTGCCAACAAAGGAATGGCTACATCCTGTGCAGCAGTGTGAAATATGGCACAGTGGTCTCTTTTCGCTTCAGATGTCAGACAAAAAGTCCCATATCCTTGCCCATATCCTGGAGGTGGCCGCATCCTGGATATGCACATCGAGGATATGGTGCCCATGTGCAGGATGCAGGCTTACCCTGGATCAGTACATGCAAC